TACTGAACATGTTTGGAGCTTTTTTTTTTTAAGATTTCATTTATTTATTATTCATACAACATTCTGCTTCCATGTATATCTGCACACCAGAAGAGGGCACCAGATCTCATTACAGATGGTTGTGAGCCACCATGTGTTTGCTGGGAATTGAACTCAGGACCTCTGGAAGAGCAGCCACTGCTCTTAACCTCTGAGCCATATCTCCAGCCCCATGTTTGGAGCGTTTCTTCCCTTATTATTACATTTCCTAGACCATACAGTGTAGCAGCTGTCTATGTGACATTTATATTATAGCAGTAATTAAAAGTAAGCTAGGGATGGAAGCATATGAGAAGGTGTATATAAGCTCTGTGCAGACACTACAGCATTTTATGTAATAAAATATGAGACTGACCATCAGCAGATTGTGGTATGTCCTGGAATCAATGCCTCTTGGGTATTAAGAGATGGCTGAATTCCCATATACTTGTGGGACTAGGTCCTCCTCCCTAAGAAGAAGTTTCCCTAGCTAATGTAGACCAGGCTGGTCTCAAACTCACAGAGATCTGCCTGCCTCTGCCTCCCCAGTGCTGGAATAAAAGGCATGCGCCACCACCACCCTGCCCTTCTCCATCTTTTCACAGAGCTTTCTAGAACTCAGTTCCCCAGCCTGTTTCCTGGCTTGTTGTTATATCATGTGGTTCTTGCTGCCACTCTGACCCTCTCCAGCGAATTTGCATCTTTCACACCCCTTTGCAGATGGGGAGGGAGGTGTCACATCCCCCAGTGCCAGAGCTAGGCAATCCTTCTTTTACCCTTGCAAAGTCTTTTCTGTTCTACTTCTGAGGATGTTGGCTCCTCATAGCCTTTCTGTGTCTCTTAAGTCCTCTGCCATCTTTGTGGCCTCAGGTATCCAAGCCAGAAGCCAGGGTCTCATCCCGTAATCTCCTTGCTAACGCTCTACATCATTAAATGCCAGCTCTCACTAAGCCTGTCTAAGCTTACTAATCACCCCCATCAGTCGTTTGACTTTAATTCAAGATCTAATTATTTTGGGTGTTATGCTCCTGCAACAGTGTCACTGTGTCCATTTGTTCATGGAAACTTTACTTAGGGACCGGAGAGGTCACTCGGTGGCCAAGGGCACTTGATCTTGCAGAGGATGCAGGTTCAGTTCTCAGCACACACATGGTGGCTCCTCACCTTACCTGTAAGTCAAGCTCCAGGGGGTCTGACAACCTCTCTTGACCTCTGAGGGCACTAGGCACATATGTGGTGCACATATACACATGCAGGCATGACATTCATACATGTAAGATGAAAACAAACAAAAGAGTAAATCCTTTGCCTATGATCTTGCCCTAGATGTCGAGAGGACAGTGATGAGCAGATAGGACTCTCGTGCTCTTAGAAATGACATTGGGGAGCATGGAGGGCGTGGGAAGGAGAAGCAGGGAGGGCAGGGGGGTCTGGAACGCTTTTCAGGGGAGGAAGCACCTCGGACTGGAGTGATTTAGAGTCTACCAGGGGAAGTTACAGGGGAGGGGAAGGAATACTATTCCAAACAGAGACCATTTCTGGAAAGCCCACAGCTGGGAATATGTGGAGTTGCTGTCTCAAGGGGCCTGAGAACCAAAGTGGTGGAAATTGTGATTTTTAAGGAAGTGGGTACAGATGAGCCTTGATAGCTGAGTTGCAGTTGGAGCATTTAGGAGAAGTCTTCATAAGGAAAAGTCTTCGTGGAGCCTCTAAAATATTTTAGCAGGAGAATGATACTGTGTAGAATCCCACCTTACTAAGGTCTTGGGCCCAGTGTGAGAACGGATGGGTGGGTTTGAGATTGGTGGTGGAGGGAGGTCTGGGGGGAGAACACTCGGGATGTTGGCTGCCAAGGAGACAGTGGCTTCCTATCAGGAGAGGGACAGAGCGGAGGAGACAGATTTCAGGGAACCCTGGGTGTGGGGCCATACTAGGAGTAGAAAGGGTGATGGTTGAGGATGGGGTTTTGTCCTAGTTTGCTTTTCTGCTATGATTAGAGACCAAAGAGCAACACTGACTACTTCCTGGCTGTTCCCAAGCTCATGGTCATCTGTCTTACTCAGTCTAGGCTCACCTGCCCAGGGATGGCACCAACTACAGTAGGCTGGACTCTTCTACATAAACCAGCATCAAGAAAATGCTCCACAGACATACCTATAGGGCAATCTGATCTATGTAATCCCTCGATTGAGGTCCCCTCTTCCTTGGTGGCCCTAGATTTCTGTAAGGTTGGTAGCTGAAGCAACCATGATAGGTGCACAAACTAGATTTCCAAACCAGTGTGGGGCCAGGAGCAGAAGGTGCTGCGTCCCTCACGGATCAGTAGAGTCTGAGGTGCCTGCAGGGATCTAAGTGGAGCTGTCCCCCAGGTAGTCAGCTCTAGGATTTAGGCAGATGGGGTAGAAAATGAAGTCATGGTTGGTGATGTCCAATAGCTTACAAAGCATTGGTATCCATACTGTTTAAATGTTCTATAAACTGTGAAGAACAGAACAACTTAGTAAGAAAAAGGGCAAAAATTATGCAACGATGTGCCTAAATACAGACAAAATTAAACACATGTCTGTAAATCCAGAGCTTGGGAAACAACCTGAGAGCTACATAATGAGTCTGAGGCCAGCCTGGACTAAATGAAACCCTATATCAAGCAAAACCAAAAAATAACAGGGCAAATTGTCTTATCTTCATTTCACAACTTTACAGTATGGATGGAAATGCCAAGTTATTCCATAACAAAACACCATGTCACAGCCAGCAAACAAACAATTTTAGCCAGACCTGGGTGATACCTGCTTGTGATCCCTCCTCTGCTTGGGAGGCTGAGCCCAGAGCATGACCCGCCTCCTGCTTTGTGAGATGTCAGTTTTTCCCCAGAGCACTCAGCTCTGTTCACTCTCAGCAGCAGCATCTGAGTGCCTGGCGCTCCTCATCTTCCTGGCATCTCCTGTATCCGTTTTGTTTTTGTACTAGTGAGGATCAAAGCCAGGGCTTGGAGCTACACTCCAACATACTGTCAAAACTGTTTTTTTTTTTTTGTATTGCTGTTGTTTCGTTAGCGTGTGTATGATGTGTGGGTATGGGTGCAGGTGCGCTGTGGCCCTCGTGGAAATCAGGTGATAGGTTTGTGTTCTCTCCTTGCATCTTTGCATGGGCTCCAGAGATCAAACTAAGGTTTCCAGGTTTGCACAGCCCACACCTTTCCCCACTCAGGCGTCCCACCGCTGTTTTTCTTTGGTTTTTGGAGACAGGCTTTTGAGTATCCCTGTAGTATTGAGATTCCATGATTCCAGGCACGAGCCATTTATGCCTGGTTCAAGCCAAGGGTTTTGTGAAAGCTGGGCAAGCACCTTACCAACTCAGCCATGGTGCTGGCTCCTTGCATTTCAGCTTTTGAGGCAGTGTCTTCCTATTCAGCTTAGCCTCCTGGTCTGTAACTTTTTAAAAAAATAATTTCTTTGCTTTTTATTTCATTTGCATTGGTATTTTGCCTGGTGTATGTCTGTGTGAGGATGTCAGATCTTGGAGTCAGAAAAAGTTGTTAGCTGCCTTGTGGGTGCTGGAGTTGAACCTGAAGAGCAGTCAGTGCTCTTAACTACTAAGTCATCTCTCCAGAACTTTTACTTTTCTTTTTTTAACTTATTATTTTTGCTAGGCATGATGGCACACACCTTTCATCCTGGCACTCGGAGGCAGAGACCAGTCTGGTCTACAGAGCCAGTTCCAGAACAGGCTCTGAAGCTACACAGAAACTCTGTCTCTAAGGAAAAGAAAGGAAAGAAGGCCATAGCCCAAGGCTGGCCTTGATCCTCAGCAAGTGCCTTTATCCACTAAGCCACCTTGCCAGTCCTGGCCTGGAATTCTTTAAGTATTCCAGGTTGGCCTTGAACTCACAACAACTCCTCCTGTCTCAGTTCAAGTGCTTGAGTTACAGGCAAGAGACACTACACTCTGACTTTCTCTTCAGCTGGATAGAAAGGTCACAGGTTTGTGATAGCAAAGCTTGAACCCAGGGCCTCACGCCTGCCAGGCAAGTGTTCTGCCGCTGAGGTATGTCCATAGCCCTTACTTTGCTGTTTATATTTGTCTGAGAAGGTAGGCTGGTTGGTAGAGTACATGCATAAAGCCCTGGGTTCCTTCCCCAGCAGGCCAGAAGCAGGTGTGATAACACACCTGCAACCCTGCCCTCTGGAAGTTGAAGCAGGAAGATCAGAAGTTAAAGGCCAGTCTGGGTTCCGTGATGAAACCCTGTGGGGGTGGGGCAAAAATCCTGTATGGCTCTGTAGGTAAAGACCTGAATTAGATTTCTAGGACCCGCATGTGGGAAGGAGAGAACCTGTTCGCTTCCCGTTGTCTTCTGACTTGCACATGTGTTCAGTTCGATGTGTCAGCATACACATACACAGTATTTTAAGAAGTCTTTGCAGTTTTGGACTTTATTCATTTTTGCATTGCCGGGGATCAAACTCGGGGGCTTGCAAATGGCAGACAGTCAACTTTGCCACTGAGCTAAATCCCTAAGGCCTGATAATCTTTTTAAAGGGTACAACCTGTTTGGTTCTTTGTCTCTAGATTAGGTTCTTCTGTAAGTGTTTAAAAGAATTGTGGCTGGGTGGTGGTGCACACACCTTTAATCCCAGCACTTGAGAGGCAGGCAGGTGGATCTCCGAGCTCCGAGGCCAGCCTGGTCTACAGGGAGGGTTCCTGGACAGCCAGGGTTACACAGAGAAACCCTGTCTTGAAAAAAGAAAAACAAACAAAAAACAAAAGATTGAGTCTCTACTGCATTTGGCCTGAGTTTGACATTAGAGCTGGAGTTAAATGCTTGAACAGTGACGGCTCTGTTGTTTATATCCTGTCTGCTTTCTTCTCCCTGGTTTGTCTCCCACTGTGTCATAACACCCTGGCAGGGGGCAGGGCAGGGGGGCAAGTTCTCACCTGTTTTCCGCTGCCAGTGACCCCAGCATTCCCACATCTCTGTCCAGGTTCCTGTTCTTCGAATGGTGGAGGGTGACACCATCTATGATTACTGCTGGTATTCTCTGATGTCCTCCAGCCAGCCAGACACCTCCTAGTAAGTGATAAGCGATGTCCTTCCCTGTGCCCTTCATCATGTGTTCCCCATCATCTCCTTACCCAGCCCACACACTAGCTCTCAAGGCGGCAGGGAGAGGGTGTTCAGTGGGCCCTTCTGATGGAAGCTGCGAGGGCTGGCACTTGGCTTCCTTCCCTCCTTTGACAGTCACTCAGCGTCCGTGTTTCTCTCAGTGTGGCCAGCAGCAGCCGGGAGAACCCAGTTCACATCTGGGATGCATTCACTGGAGAGCTCCGGGCTTCCTTCCGCGCTTACAACCACCTGGTACTGACTTCCCTGTCCAGCCCTGTGCTCACTGTGGCCTAGCCCTCCTTTTTGGAAGACAGCTGAAGCTTTGCAGGCCTGTTTCCAGCCTTCTCCTGCCCCTAGGACGAATTGACAGCGGCTCACTCTCTCTGCTTCTCCCCGGATGGTTCCCAACTCTTCTGTGGCTTCAACCGGACTGTGCGTGTCTTTTCCACATCCAGGCCTGGTAGAGACTGCGAGGTGCGAGCCACATTTGGTAAGCCTCCGAGGGGGAGGAGATGAAAGAACAGCACCTGCAAAGGGGCCTTGTGTGAGCTGGGCCACCTGTGGGTTTCTCATCATCCTTAGTACAAGCCTGGGTGGCACTTGCCAGCTGCAGAAGAGACACCGACTCAGCTTGGAGGAAGCCCCCAAGGTCAACCAGTTGACTAGAAAGCCAGGTTAACTCCTAACCCATCCATGCCTGTCAAATGTGTACTTTGTGGTCTCTCAAAACCTTGTTAATAGCTAGAAATTGTTTTTATTTTACTCTTTCTTACAGTGCCTGGGATTGAACCCAAGGTCTTGTTAGGCAAGCACTGTGCCACTGAACTTTATGAAATTGAAGGGAAAGGGAGTCCGTTTCCTGTAGGCCTGTAGCTCTCCATCCCTTCCAGGAAAAACTGGGGTATGAGCGGGGAGAGGGAGACTTTAGGAGAGTGAAATGACTTGGGAAGTATCAGAACTTCAGATTGCTTGTGACAAATGGTGGGGAATGAGTCCCTGCATGTCAGTACTAGGACAGGGTACAGAGGGCTGAGGCTAGTTACTGTCCTGTGCTAATTGTTCTCCTGTTTCATCTCCAGCAAAGAAGCAGGGCCAGAGCGGCATCATCTCCTGTATAGCCTTTAGTCCATCCCAGCCCCTTTACGCCTGTGGCTCCTATGGCCGTACACTAGGCCTGTATGCCTGGGATGATGGTTCTCCTCTCGCCTTGCTGGGAGGCCATCAAGGGGGTATCACCCACCTTTGCTTTCACCCCGATGGCAACCTCTTCTTCTCAGGAGCCCGAAAGGTACTGGTCAGAGCCCAGAGTATGTGGGCGGCAGGATTGGGGATGTCGTCTGTAATGGGATGAAACCAAGTTTGGAGGACTTGGGGGTGCTGAGGTGGAGACAGAGAATTGGGGGGGGGGGGGCACTTCAGACTCCTGTACTTGTCTTCAGGATGCCGAACTTCTGTGCTGGGATCTCCGGCAGCCTGGCCACCTCCTGTGGTCTTTGAGGTGGGAAGTGACCACCAATCAGCGCATCTACTTTGATCTGGACCCGTAAGTGGCCGTCCCCCCCTCTTCCCTTTCCAGGTTCATCCTCAGCCCCTGGATAGGAATGGCTTCTACCCCCAGAGTGATGCCTGTGTGGACACAAGTTTC